TCAAGTTGGGGACAGTGTTTGGAAAATGCATCCATACTGTAAAGATTTACTCTGTTTTCCTTAATTTTATAATATTTTTACTTTATATTGCTACTAGTGTTGCTGATGATACTATAATGATTATAATTTCAGTAATAATAACAGCATTACTATCAATAGCATTGGAAAAAAATCCCCAAAATACATTTCAAAAAACAAAACAGTGATCATTACATATTCTCAGTACCATAAGGTTAACATTAGTGATGTAGATCTCATTGTTACCATTATGATCATTATCACCATCTACTTTCATTGTCTTTATCATGACAATTAGAAATGTCAAAACTATTAGCCATTACTGACAGTATTATTGATGAAATAACAAACATGTAGGAAAGTAAAAAAGAACACCCAACAGTCTTTAAATCAGAGGGTAACCCATGTGTAGGGTACAAAGTTTATTGATAATAAAAGAATAGTGAAGACTTTAATGCAATCAAGAAAATAAAGGTAATGAATACAAATCTAGTAAAAAAAAAAATAATAATCCTAACCCAGTCCACAAATGGAAAAACATGTGAGATGATGATCTTTTAAGCTCATCCTACTAATACTACAAAAATTTGGTATAAAATTTAGGAGGGCAAAATTTATGACCTGTATTAAATAATATATGTTCTCCAGAAATTAGAACCTGGTAAAAAAGCAGGCCTACTATTTGAATTTAATGCAAGAAAATTTTGGGGCATCAAATAAGCCTAATACTCACCCAAACTATACCTGACATGTTACCTTTACTATCAAAACTATTGCAAATTTCTCATTACAAATATTAAGAATAATTTGGAAAATACAAAAATACAAAAAATATTCATTAAGATATGTCTGGCTACAATTCATAATAAATTTACAAAAAAAAAAAAAATTACACTAAAACAATGCTCTAACTTTTGCAGCACCAGACTTAACCAAAGTATGAATGGGGATATCTCCTAATGTTAGTAAGATAAGGTAAGATACTACACCTTTTACAATAAACAAAACTGAATTGCAACACACGAACATACACACGCGCATGCACGCACACATGTGTGTGTATGTATGTATGTATATATATATATATATATATATATATATATATATATATATATATATATATTACACTGGTTATATATATATACATATGTATCTATATATACATATATATATATACCAAAAATAATGAATTTGTCCTCATTTCTAATTTATAGATAGCTAAAACAACAAAGTTAAAATTAGCCATGTAAATGTGTGATTCTTAGTAATATAGCAGTATTTATTTTTCCTACTTACAAAAGAAAAAAAATATAAACTGACCTTACTCTAATCCACTTTAGCAATTACATTTTTCGGATTTCAGGCTAAATCATTGCAAAAATCCTCCATTACTTTCTTGGGCATTACACAATACATAAAGCCACTTTCCTCGGTCATGTCTTTGGCACCTTTCCCTTTGTAAAACATAATACTAGGCTTATTCCAGCCAAAGTACACAGAAGTCACATCTGATTCCCTGAACAGCTAGACAAGCCTGAAAATCACAAAGCACAGTAAATATATAGCATGAAATGGGAAAAAAACAAATCCTGTTGATAATTTTACTTTTATATATATTTTCATTTTATGTCAATACTGGTTATATCAAATGTCCTAATGTATACATCAACTGAAGTATTTATACCAACTCATAAGTGCACATACATAAATACATACATACATACATACATATATACATACATACAAACATACACATAAATACATGCACATACATACATACATATATTCATACATGCACATACAAACATACATATATTCATACATACATATATAGATACATACATACATACACATAAAAACATCCTTACTTACAATATAGGTGATCATGTAGTAATTAAATTAATATACTGTCTGCTACAGGAAAAAACTCATCATAAGTATGGAAAGTAAGGGAAAGTACAATTACAAAAGAAGTAAAAAAAAAAAAAATAAAATAGAAAAAATAATAAATAAATAAATAAAAATAAATAGATAATAAATAAATAAAAAATATATATATATATAAAGATTCAAAATTCAAGCAAAAAATGGGCCAAAATAGTTCAATAATAGATGCAAGAAAATGAGAGAAAACAAGCAGTTCCTTTGGAAAAGGTTTGGAAAACATAAAACTGAAAGAAACGAGTATACACATACCACAAGGGAGGCAAAATTAGACTCTGGAAAGGATATAATCAATAAATGTACAAACCAACCCAAGCTCTTCTTTCATTACATAAATAGTAAACCTAAAAGTAGAGATCAAATTCTCGTCATCAAAGACAATCACATTGAGGAAGTGTGGGTAATACTTAATGAGGAATTTCATTCAGTGTTTGTTCTGGACATATACTTTGAAATGACAAGTAACCATACAAATGTAAATCAGAATATTGAAAATATCACACTCAAAAAGAATGAAATAAAAGGGCTACTAAAATGGTTACACAAGACTAAAGCAGAGGGACTAGATGAGATTTCTAACTGAGCTCTTGGGGAATGTGCCAAAGAACTATGTACTCACTTATTGTTCATAATCCAATATTCAGTGAGACAAAGAAAACTACCAAAAGATTAGAAACTCCCCAATGTTACACCTTTTTAGAAGAGCAGTGTCAAACAAAGCCCTCTAAATTATAGACCAGTGTAGTATGAAGGCTGCTTGAAAGGATTATTAGGAAACAGTGGGTTGAAGTACTTGAAAAACACAATATGATATCAAATAAGCAACTTGGTTTTAGGAAGAAAGGTCATGTGTAGCAATTCTCCTCTGTTTTACAGTTTTTGAAATATTACAGAAATAGATGGATTGTGTATACTTACACTCTATGAAGCCATTTGATGTGTCTCATACAAGATTATTATGGAAATCAGAACATCTAGGTAAGGTGAAAGAGATGAGAACTGTAATTAGAGCACTCTACATGGGACTAGTAACTAGCAGAGTCCATCAAGGACTTGGTGCTGATAATGTTTATTATATTCATCTATGATTCAAGGTCAAACATATATGATGCAAAATTTAAAAAAAAAGGAAAATAGATGACATCTCATGCCAATGCCTCCAAAGAACTTCTTCACAAGGAGTTTTACTTAGAAAAAAATATTGTAGAATCAGTTTCAGAGAAAGTAAAAATCTCCACTATAGCAACACAAATTAGGACAGTATTAAAACCAGCAGGTAGGGAAAAAGACCTTGGATAATCATAATCATGAAATTAAGCCTAAATAATCATATAAATCAAAAGGTCCATACAATGCTAGGGCTGTCTGCCAACATGTATGGACATGATATGGTAAAGATCATTACAGTCATCAAGAGACCTATGGCCATTTTGTTAAAATTTTGCGAGGCCACCCCAGTAAATATTCATCATACAGACATGCATATAGACAGAAATAAATGCATATCTATCAGTTTAAACATTCTTATCTACCTGATTTTTGTGTATTTGCATATCTGTATATATGAACATTCATTGGGTTGGGCCTTGCATAATTTTTTACAAACCTGCCACTAGTCTAGAGTAAGGTGCAGTGGCATGGAGTCGACACTTACAAAAAGATATAGACAAAATGGAAAAGTGCAAAGTACAGCCACAAGATAGACACCTACTCTAATATATTGAGCTATGAAGATAGACTACAGATAGTAGGCCTTACTACTTTGGAAAGATGGAAAAGGGGTGACATGATTATGCTGTTTAACTGCTACAGGAAGAGTGAAGTTAGACAAAGTTGACTTTATAATTTTGAACACAAGAAGGATGAGAGAACACAGTAAATAGTTGAAAGTAAAAAGAGGCAAGAAAGATTTCAATAAGTTCAGTTTCTCAAACAGAACCATTGAAACATGGAACAATCTTCCAAACAAAATTGTATGCCCAAATGTGCATCATTTTAAAAAGTTCCATGAGAATTTAAATAGAGCAGATGGGACCATATGAGCTTAGCTCTTCTCCTGTATTGCAACAACTAGGTAAGAACACACACAAACTCACACACACACTCACACACACTCACACACACACACACACACACACACACACACACACACACACACACACACATACACACACGCACACGCACACGCACACGCACACGCACACGCACACGCACACGCACACGCACACGCACACGCACTCGCACTCGCACTCGCACTCGCACTCGCACTCGCACTCGCACTCGCACTCGCACTCACACACACACACACACACACACACACACACACACACACACACACACTGTTTGCATGGATAAAACTTTGTTCATCTCATTATCCTATCATAAAGGGAAGATAATAAAAGAATCAATATGCTTTAGTCATACTACAAGACATAGGTTACAGGTTAATATGAGATTTTCTACAATTCAAAAAAAACAACAAAAAAACACTGTAATCTTATGTAAATGTAACAAGTAAAAAAAAAAATTGATAAGTAATATCATTTTGTACTGCAATATTTATATAATGGTAACACAATCTGGAAAGAAGTAAATACATAATTTCATTCACTTTTCTGTCAAGGTTATTTTTTATCAATGATACATGTATAGAAAACAAACATCTTAAAAAAATCTAAAAGAAAAGAGAGAAATATATTTCACACATGAACTATATTCCTCACCTCTAACACTTGCTTCCACAGTGCTGTACCAATACCTTTCCCACGGTATGAAGGTGCCACATAAAGATCTTCCATATACACACCTCGACCCATCCAGTTATATGTATGGAAAAAGAGTGTATGTCCTATTAGGTGATCTTCACTTTCTGCTACAAAACATTTATAGAACACCTTGTCTCCAAAACCATCATCTTCTAGTGCTGCAAATCCAAAGGTTTATATCAGATTAGCTAAATATTATTGCACATATCACTAATGTTATAGGATGACCAACATCATCATAAAGTTAGAGTCATTCCTTTTTACTTAACATTC